TTGAACTGCGGTCCCTGTGCTTTGCTAAGCTTGTTCTAAGCAGGTGCTTTAGACCACTGAGCCATCTCACCAGCCCCTGAGTTTTATTTTTAAACTGCAACTATGAAGGTGCATAAATACTACGCACTATTTATTTCTTGCGGAGCCAGGGACGGAACCCAGGCCTCGCGCTTGCCGGGCAAGCGCTTACTCTCCTGCGCCGTCTCCCCGGCCCCAGGCGCTGTCTTAATGCTGCATCTGCTCTTGTTCCACTTCATGTCACGCTCTTCTCCTTCTGAATTTTCCCAGTGCTGGAAACGGAACCCAGGGCACCAAGCACGCCGGATTGACCGCTAAGGTTGATAAGACGGCTGCTACTGACGCTGAGCAGGCTTTATCTGTGCGTGTGGCTGGCTCAGCCCGTCCTGGGGTCAGGGCTGGCATGACATGTGGTACCAGAGATTGAACTCGGGTCCCTGCACGCTTCCCTAAATTTGCCTAAGCAGGCGCTTTAGACCACTGAGCTATCTCACTGGCTCACAAGCAAGTTTTGTAAACTTGTTCACCATCTGCAGATCTTCTTTTCAGAAATCTCTGTTGAGATCAGTCAAATGATTGTGCAAGAATCATGCAACAGTAGAAAAGGGAAGCTTCCCAGGCATAGTGGCTCACACCTGTAATCCCAGGCATAGCGGTACACACCTGTAATCCCAGGCATAGCGGTACACACCTGTAATCCCAGGCATAGTGGTACACACCTGTAATCCCAGGTATAGTGGTACACACCTATAATCCCAGGCATAGTGGTACACACCTGTAATCCCAGGTATAGTGGTACACACCTGTAATCCCAGGTATAGTGGCACACACCTGTAATCCCAGGCATAGCAGCACACACCTGTAATCCCAGCACTCAGGAGGCTGAGGCAGTAGGATCACCACGGGTTTAAGGCCCGCCTGGGCTACATAGGGAGCTCAACGCCAGCCTTAACTGTATAGCAAGACCTTGTCTCCAAGATAAAAACAAGAACAGGAAAGGTGATCTTCTACTACTGGACGCCCCTGGCTGCCGCCCTCCTTCCAGTGTCTTCTGCAGGCGTTACTGCCACTGCGATGCTGCCGTGAGGCTGTCCGCGGTGCCAAAGCAGGTGAAGCTGTCTGACCTTCAACATTCAGATTCTGAAGCTGAATGAACAAAAATTTTATTTTATTTTTTATATTAATTTTATTGAGAAAAAAGTAGCAATGAGACAGTTTGAAAACAAGTTAGTGAGGGCTAGGGAGATAGCTCAGTAGAATGAACAATTCCCTGCCAAGCACATGAGCCTGAGTTCAAGCCCCAGTTCCACCAAACAAAAAGAAAGGAAAAGAAAATTTGGGGCACCATTGAGTTACAGGACGCTACAGTGCAGGTTCTGTTGTGTCCTGAGTCCTCCCTGACCTTGAAGGGCGAGAGCCACAGTGTTGGCTCTCCTTGTAGCCCTTCATTTTCTCTAACTTTTTGGTCTTCAGACTTAAGTAACAAAACTTTTTGTTTTGTGCTGGGCATCAAACTCAGGACCTTACCCTTGCCAGGCAGGCACTTCTGCTGTTGCTCTACATCAACATACTGGGTTGATTTTCAAAATGAGGTCATCACTGAGTTAATTTTCAGAGCATTATACTCATTTAGTCAGGAGACCATAGATTAGTGTCACAGACCAGAAGCTTAAAGCGTAGTGCTAATATTCTCACCAGTCTAGAGAGGAGGAGCCCGAGCCCGGAGGGCTGACAGGGAGCCTCCCTGATCGGGAAGGCTACCTCTCCCTAGCTACTCCAGTAGTCCCTTCTCTGAACGTGCTCCTCCTTGCTAGGATTTCTTTAAGGTCTCCCGATGCAGTCTGGGCTGGCCTTATGCTCACTTCTGTAGCCTCCAGGCTAGTCTCCAACAGCGACCCTCCTGTCTCAACCTCCCAAGTACAGGGATTACAGTTTGCACCACCACAACCGGTTCCCCTGCTTGGAGTTTTTAAAATGTATTTAGTACCGGATCTCATTATGCAGCAGCTCCGACTCCCCTCTAACACTGGGATTACACGTGTGCACCACCATGTGGATCCACTTTCCCTACTAGCACTTTTAATATCCAATTTTTTGTGCTTATAATGCCACCAGTTCAATTGCATTAGAGCCTCCCACATGTCTATTTAACTGGTCATTTTAGAGTT